TCATCCTGGACAAGAGGCAAGTGAGCATACAAGCTGTTTCACTTGCTTTGTTACATGAGTGTACTAAAGTTCAGATCTTAATTTAGAGCATTTTTAAACCTTGGTGTGTTTCTAACCTGTGCAGCATTGGTGTGGGTGGAGTGACAAGGAAGGCTGTGTGTGATTTAGCAGTTACGCCATGAGTCTTGGACCTCATTTTTTGCACAATCATTAAAGATTTGCTTTGGGTGTCTGTAAAACTACGTCTGTCTTCTAAAACCTTTTAAATCAAAAAAAGTTTTTATTTACAACTTCTGGGCAGTGGCAGTAACTAAGGCTTCAACTGCAAGTTTTGGCAGGAAGTATGTTGTCCAAGTTATAGCTATTTATTTGTAGCTTGGCTTATAAAGAAATTGTGCTACTTTCTAAAGTTTGGGGTGCTCTTTGGTGCTGTTGAGCAGCACCGGTCCTCTTTGGTGCTGTTGAGCAGCTTCCAGCAGACTTCCCAGAGTCTTAAAGACTCGCAGCTGCATGGAAGAGAAAGATGCAAGTTCCTACTCTTTATTTCTTTTTTTATTTTTATTTTTTTTGGAAGTTTCTGTGCCGCAAGTTCAGTAGCGCTTTCTGTGCTGCTGTCTAGCAGACAAGGACATGATGGTTCTTGCTGTTGTATTAATGGGAGGGTATTAACATCATTCTGAAGTGGGGAGCAGATGCATACAGGGCAGTTCTGCTCATGGGAAAGCCTGGTTTTGGTGAGTGGAGGAGGGAGCATTTGATTTCAGCCAAGTGCACAAGCTGAGTGGCAAAAAGGACTCAAACAGTCTCTTACACCCTTTGAATCACAAACTGCTTTCACTCGGCGAGTATAACAACGTAATAAGCTTGAATGCTGAGGTGATTTGCTGTTGTCAGAGATGCTTAGCAACCAGGGGTTTTTTGGCTTTTTTTTTTTTTGTGTGTGTGTGTGGATACTAAACACAGCCAAAAATCAGTGTTAGTAATTCTTGTGCTTATCGCTATATTACAAAGTTGCTAAGTAATGAGTTGCTACCACTGGTCCATTCTTTAGTCTCCAGCTTGAGCTTGTGTAGCAATTCTTACAGACAAAAAATCACTTGGCTGCTTGATGTGGAGTGAGGGGATGTCAGACTATTGCTGTCATACTGAGGTGCCTCACAGAAGCACCTCTACCTAAACTGCAGATCTGGTAATTCAAGTTTACTGAAACATTATTACCAAAATTCAGTTTGAGACTTTTTTTAAACATGGCAATGTTATCTTAAAAACTGAATCTAGAAGTTGCAATACTGAGTTACCGTAAGATGTACGGTAGTGGCTATAAGGGCCAAAGGACACACAAAAGTCAAGGTTTGCTGGTGGGGTAGTATCTCTTCATACTAACCAGTATTTTCGCTGGTGAGTATCACTGTCAGTCTTGGGTTATTTTCATATGCAAAAACCTCTCTTAAGTGACTTTTCTGTATTTTAGTTCTCATTACTGTGAAATAAAATAACAGGTAATTTGCCAACAGGGTGCAATCAGCACAGGCAAGTGTGGTCTTTATACACAACTTGTCTGAAATGGTAGTTTGAATTGTATATCTTGTTGCCCTTGATGTGTATAGTTTTGTATGTGTATAGGCCCTTCAGATGTGTTTAGTTCCTTATGCAGAAGACAAGTGGATTTTTGAACTTCTAAATATCAGTGAGATATTGGTAATGACAGTCAGATGATGATCATGACATAATTAGACCTAATTGTTTGCTTAAGTGATAAAGCATATTGAGGAACACAGACCAAAGTCTAGTATTTTGGTGGATCAAAAGGGTGGGAGTAATCAGGTTTCAGTACCAGCTGTTCTTCCAACTCACTGTTCTGCCTGTCTTCAGAGCTGCTAGCTTACTCTGTTTGTACAGATGGTCATGACTTGACCACCTTGTCTATTAACAACACAGAGACCTCCAGACAACCTAATCTTATGTCTAGTTCACTGTGCATAAGATAAAGCCCCGATAAAAGATCAGCACACTTGCATATGACCTTCTGGGGGTTGTTCTAGTTGCTGTTTCAAGGCTGAACACGTTTAGAGACCTTGAAGACTTGCAGAGTTGCTGATGGAAAATAAAGCTTTAAAAGTCCAACATGTTATCAGCTTTTCCCTGTCTTACAATGCTGTGCTTCTAAAGGAGAGTCTCAAATATTTGCTTAGAGTTTATAAACTTCGTGCAGCTTAATTGTGAACTTATTGGAACCTTAGTAGAAGCTAAAAGCATTTATGAAAAGTCCTGATGGCTAAGCTAGCAGATGCTGCTGCTTGTGTTTTCAGTCATGCGGGTCATATCACTGAAAATACAACTGTTAAATATTTGCTTTCCTTCCTTAGGCCGGGTTGATGTCGACCATGTGATAACAAGGAAAATGCAGCTAATAGCAGAAGCTGAGGTAAATATGATCTGCTGGATGCCGGTGGAGAGAAGGGGGATGATTTGCCATGGATGTCATTTTGCTCCAGGACAGTGCCTCTCCAACTCTGCTTCTCAGGAACATCCCGAGAGCAGTGATTGATTGATTGATTTTAACACTGCCTGCCCTTTATCCCTTCATCATACTTCTCGCTTTGCACAAAACAAGTAATATCAAATGCAGTTCTCCTACGTGACCTCAAAAGAGTAAACTCCAAAGATAAGAGTGAACTTCGAAGCCTGTCATAAAGTTGCCTTCTGGCAATGCCATTGTCTGCTGACCCGGCTTCCTTTGACAACTTGCACATTTAAGGGGATGTGCCCTGCCATCCACTGAATAATAGGAAACGTGTAGCCTGTATCCTACAGCTTCTCTTAACTATTGAGAAGACCTTCCTGAGCTTTTGTCCTATTCTTTCTCATGGAGCAACACCTGCATTTTTCTTCCCCAAGGAAATAGCATGAATATGTTTTGAGTTTAAGCTGCTGTTGTCTTAGCTGGGATGAGAAGAGGTTTGTGCACCTTTCCAAATTGCTCTGGGAGAGATGGTGTGTGCCCAAATTACATGCAGTTGGTTTACAATGAGCCACTCCCTTCATGCTAGCCATTGTTTCTTGGTACACAGCTTCTTCGGGGCAAATTGTCCTGCACTCTTGCTTCATTTTACTGCAGAGATTTCAGTGGTAAAGGTGAAGTCATCTAATGTCACAGTCCTATGCGCAACTTAGGAAAGGAACGCTTATAAATCAGAAGGAAAATGTCCTGTACCTTTGAGCTATTTCCCTGTATTACTCTTTTCTCCCCTCATGACGGGCAGTGGGTTTTGAATTTTCATCAGAAATAATTAGAGGCAATAAAATGTGATTAAAATACAATAAAATATAACTAAAGAGTGGGTAAAATACTGGAGAACTGCAAGTTTTCTTTCAGCAGCGAGCTGCAGGGATATTTGGCTTAACTTCCTCTGACTTCAGTTGAGTCAGCTTCTGCTTTTTATGGCATAGCAGTCTTCTCATACTTGCCTCTGACTGTAATGACTGGTTTATTTTTAAAATTGAATCACAAAGCTGAGTGGATTTGCCCGATTCATTGACTGGAAGACACTTAAGCTTCCTTTGGGAAGCTCTTTCAGTGCCCTGAAATGGTGAGGGGTGCGGCAGGGCTGCTATTGCTGTAGAAATTCTTTTGGTGTAGAAATTTGCTCCAAAAGGAGCAGGAATTTCAATTTTTTTTTTTTTTTTTTTTTTTTTTTGAAAGGGGTGTGTGTGCATGCTGTGAATTGAGATTAGGTCAGGAAGCACTGGTTTTGTTGCAAGCTGTAGTACTAAAGTACCAAAGTGTTCCAGCCTTTGTTTATAAAGGCAGGGGGAAAGCCACCTCACCTCTGCAGGGGGAAAAAATCGGACTCTACCCCTGGGAAAGCAATTTTTGAGAGTAACCAACTACTAAGAATTGCTATTTCATTAAGTACTAGTGAAGCTTGTTTGTTTTACATTGGCAGTTGCCAAATAGGGGAAAAGTTTAATATTAATTTCCCACTGCAGCTTCTGTTTTAAGAGATGTCTCTGTGTCTGCTTGCTGTGGAACAGGAGAAACAGATGTGACCCTCATTTACTTCAAGGTCTTCTGGATTTATGTAGCCTCATGCCTGATTGCTGTATATGTTCCTGGAGGGTTAACCTCGTTGCTTGGCAATTGTCACATACTAGACAGTAGCACTCTGTAAGAATGCATCCTCCCAGGTTAAAATCTCTTGTGTTAAAAGAGGTGGTCATAATAGAGTTGTTTTTCCAAGTCTGCCATCTAAAAATCAGTGTAAGCATGTCTGGAAGATCAGAGCTCTATCACTGATAAGCAGTGTGAGTCAGTGGAAACAAACCTCTTTTAAAAACAGTTGTGGAAAGTTCTCTGGGAGACAAATCAGTACTGCAGTTTAGAGCTAAAAGCTGATTTTATTGGTCTGGGTTTTCCTTGCTTTGCTGGGCTTTATTCCTCTTCCTCCTTAACAAAAAAAAAAAAAAAAAAAAAGGCAGCTCCAGCTTTCTCTAGCATAATAGTCAGTGAACTGTAGCGCTTGGTGACCAGAGCCGAGTGTCACACGTGGCCCTTCCAGAACGCACCCAACCTCCCACTTCTTTCTTGCCCTCACTGGAAGTGGGTTTCTCACTTCTCACTTGCTATCTGCCTTAAAGATGAATCTGGGCAGAAACTGGGAAAATCCCAGGCGATCCTCACTAATAGACACTTGCCCAACAACAACAAAAAACATATTACTGTGTTTCTAGCCAGTTCTTGAAACTTAACTGCCTCCTGTGCTGAAGGTGAGCATCTAGCAAAGCATTCTGGAAAGGCTTATGGTTTGGGAGCTCAAGGTTTGGCTTTCAGTCATGTTTTATCATCAGGCTCAGGCACTGGGAAAATAAATATCTGTCTGAGGGTTTGACATTGGGGAACTAAATGCTCCAAAGTCCTATAAATCACTAGATTTTCTGAAGTAAAGATATAAAAACAAATCTTGGGATTTTTAGGTTCTCTAAGCTGGACACAAAGCGAATGCATGCTTTTTCTTCAGGGAGTTCGTTTCCTGCTTTCCTAGTCAGAGGAACACTTGCTGAGTCTTGCACACAGACATCTAATATTGATATAAAGAACAAGAGAATTTATTCTGCAGCAAAGCATATAGCTTGTTAGAACTTAATGTAGCCCTCTCTACAGAAACAACTAACTTGGCAGTGGTAAAATGTTCAAAGTGCATCTTGCTTAAATAACTACGCTTGTGTGGGAGAAGTTCTCCAAGCCTTCATATTCCAAGAGTAATAGTAGATTCTACCCACTAGATCTCTATGTAAATCTTGTTTCTAGTAGGTTTAATGCTAATGGTATGATAACTTCATGTGAAGTGTTTTCTGGGGCTCCCTCCTGAACTAACTTTTTTTTTTTTTTTTTTGGGGGGGGCCCCATGAAATATACAAAATTCCTGCCACTCCCGGTGTTGGTGAAGGCCAGACTGTTTACTTTCCTCCTCTGTGTTGCATCTGATAGAGAAGATAAACACTATTCAAAGTCATCTGGCCTGAGATGTGTGAACAGGCCAGGATAAGAGCCTGATCTCAGCCAAGTTGGCACTAACTGTTGGCAGGTTGAATGGGAGCATTTTGGGGATGCCTTGCTCTGTCCTGCCCTGGCACAGATCCCTTAGGAAAATGTACTAGAGGCGTAAGCACCTTGTTCTGTTTCCACTCTCTCAGCAACTGAAGCCAGCTTTCATGAAGGAGGTGGACAGTCATTTTACAGAGTTTGTGAACAGCTTAGTGGCAAAATCAGCGCTCCTGGATTCTTCATCTTCCCTCTTTCCAGATCCTTGCTCAGAGAAGGACCTACACAAAGCCAAGTAAGTCAGTTTTAGGTTCATCCTGTAACAAGGTTACGTGTCCTGGGAGCTTTATTTTCTTTATGGTCTTGAATGTTCACCTTTCCTGTTTGCAGGACTTTGAGAGCCCCTCCAGAACATGGCAAGATCTTTACTGCCAGGAGATCCCTCTTGGAGTGAGTAGCTTAGCTTTATTTTCTTTCTTTGGAAAAACTAACAAAAATGCCTTTGCTAGTAGATGCCTTTACTAGCATCTCTTTTTCCCTTCTCCTGTTCAAACCTCTGTGGACTAATTTATTTTTAATCTTCATTTCTTTCTAGCCCACTCCTACTACAACTTGTAGGGCTTTTCTAATGCAAACCTTAATTACTGTTTTCTTGGTATAACTGTGATGATGGATAAATATCATTTATTTGTGGATAAACTGAGGAGGTGACAGGCATGGAGACTGACTTCTGAATTTTGCATTAACTTTTGGTCTCTTGAGTTGGGATGGCAGTGATATCTCCTTACCTTACTGTGAAATGCTTGGAAAGCTAATGTGCTGGAGATGTGATGTTCCGTGTCCATGCCCTGATAGCATTTGAATCTCTCCCTTAGTGAACTCTTCGAAGTGAGTCACATCAGGACGATCTACCACATGTTCATCGCTCTTCTCATTGTCTTCATCCTTAGCACGCTTTTAGTAGACTTCATTGATGAGGGAAGGTAAGAGCCCTGTGGGAAAAGCAAGGGGCAGAGTGGGTGGATGCTTCCAGAGAAGCAGAGGTGCCTGAAACTGCCCAATGGTGAAGGAAGGAGGAAATGTTTTCCTTGGATGCCCTTGCAGAGGGGAAGAGGGTGAACTGAAATGTTTAGAACACGTGCTGAAATAGCTTTTGCAGTGAAGTGATAATATCAAAGCAGATAGCTAAGCATTTACCAAATCATTCAAATGTGCATTTCCTGAGGGCTGTGGTCAGTGCAGTTAGGTCAAATGCTTAGCTCTCCAAGACTGATGAGAGGGGTTTTTACTGAACATGAACCACTTTGGTTCAAACAGTGCCGCTAGCGAAGCGGCAGCTTTCAACTACCTGTTTTGGCTGAGGGGAAAAATGTTTATAAAACACTTGAGAACATTGGCAGTCCCTTCTCTTTCTAGAAGTAGCAATTCTGGTGCTTAGAGCCTCACTTTTTCTAAGTGAACACCCTGCATACCTGTATTGTACAGGTAGGCAATCCTGAACAATATTGTGAAAGACTGCTTTCCTCACACTTGCTTGTTACAGCTTGTCGAAAAGACTGTTTAAAGTATCAGCTGTACACAAGTTGGATTACACATTTATCTTGTTGATTTGTCTTATCTTCGGTGTATAAAGCTATAGTCGTCTTGATAATAATTGTCCCTTTTGTCAGGGTATTAAAACTGGCTTGTGCAGTACTGAATACTGCCAGGTGGATTGTAACTTAATAGTAATATGGGCACTGGGAAAATAGATATTTCTCCCTATAAAGTCAACTAAAAGGGATGGGTTCTTTGTGATTATGGAGGAGGAAGAAGAAAGCTGCTCTATCCTACCTCTTCCACCCAAGCTTGATTGAGAAGAGCTGCTTACACATAAAAGAAAGTTCTGACTTTGGCTAGTCCTTCTTAAATTTTCATTAAGGAAATGAAGTATCTAGTGTTCACATCTTTGGAGTGACCATCTATAAGTGTCCCCAGAAGCTCTTTTGGACTGTGATTCTGCAGTGGGTTTAGTCACATGCTGCTCCTTAGCAGGGATGAGCTTGAGCACAGTCTTAAAGCACATGCTGGTCTTAATGTGCTTAAGCCCTGTGGGATTTAAAGGTCAGCTGTGCTTGACAGCACTGATGACTTGAGTCCTTCATCTTCTGATGTCCTTCTTGATGGTCGCTTAAGTCTGCAGCAAACAGTTCCCTGCTTCAGAGCTGAAACTGCCCCAGGAGCTTCTCACCAAACTGTCAAACCACTATAGGGGGAACTTGGTCTTCTCTTGCCATTAAGTTAAACAGAATTGTGTGTTAATGAAACAATGGATGCTGAATATTGTCTTTTTGTGTGTGCCTTCTAGGCTGGTCCTGGGATTCGACCTTTTGGTCTTTGTTTTTGGAAAGCTTCCTGTTGTCTTCTGTACTTGGCTCTGCATGTTCTCTGCCACCGTGGTGGTTCCCTACGGCCTCTTCTCCCAGTGGGCCCAGAGCTACAGCAGTTCCTCCCACCGTGTTATCTTGGATCAACCTATGTCACTATAGCATATGCCCTGCCTCCAGCTTCCCGGTTTATTGTAATCTTGGAACAGGTGGGTGTCTGCCTTGTGTCTTGGGATATGCTCAAGACCCTTTTCAAATGGGAATGGTCCCTTTTCCAAAAGGGACAGATGTGTGGGTGGATTTTTTTTTTCATATTCACTAAATTAAGCAAGAGCTGTAGATGAAGTTAAGCTCTGAGGTGAAAACAGACTTCTGTGAGACAGATCTAATGAGGGAGTAAATAGTAAACTTTATTTTGGCCTGGAAACCCCTCTTTTTACCCTATTCAAGGACTTTATTAATGTTTTTGGAACACACTTCAAGGCTGAAGCGTTTATTTCTGTCTTGTGGATGCTAAGCACTTAAAAACAAGCTTAAGAACCCTTTGTGCCATAGTTGAAAGGAAGCTGTAACATTCCTCTAAAACCAAAATAAAAACATAGCCAGCAAGGGGTTCCTGTTTTTTCTTCTCGTCACAAGAACCATCAGTGTGTCTATAAGACAGATCCTCAGTAAGAGCACAGCTGCTTTTTCTTGAAGGGTGGATTCACATGTAAGACCTTTCAAGCCATCAGGTTGAAACAAAAAGGGCTAGAGATCAGAGTGCAGGCTTGCGGACAATCTGTCTTTTGGTTCTTCAGTTCTAAAACAAAAACCTTGCGTAGCTGCCACAGGCTTTGTACGTGGCACCACCTTATTCCAACCTAGTGGTGACTGCAATACCTCTTACCTTCACGGCTCACTCAAGACTTCAAAACACGCTGGGCTATTCAGATGGATAAATTTCTGTGTTTTGAATTTAGATTAATGCCGACTTGCTAATGATTTATTGATCTCTTTTTGGTTTCTTTGGAGTGCATTGGCTGTACTTCTGTAAGTGTAAATGAAGTACTTGGTTTTCCTGAGTCATGACCACTACTGCATTTCCCTCCTTGAGCTGTTCTAATTCATAAATGGGCTAATTCACTAAATAGGGCTGATTCCTCCAGCCACAAGCCTTTCATTTTAAAAGAAGTAAATTGACAAGAGACCAGGATGTTGAGTGGGTTATTCTGAGCTGCTGTCTCTATCTCAATCATGCAGGTCCGCCTTGTTATGAAGGCTCATTCATTTGTCCGAGAGAATGTTCCTAAGGTCCTGTCTTCCGTGAAGGAGAAGGCTGGTGAGTAACTTTCTGTGCTTCTGACAGCTGGACGCAAAGGGCACCTGCATTCCCTCCGCTGCTCTGAGCTAGCCATGTGAATAGGAGACAAATAATATTTGGGTAGGTGGCTGTGAGGAGGCTCTACACCAGCATTTTGCATTGTGAATTTCAGCCCAAATCTTTTGGTATTATACAGTTTGGTGTTATACAATTATGCAAAGCTGTTGATTTTAAGTCTTGCTTCAACAGGGCTTGTCTTTCCCTGCTCTTGTCTGCAGAAAATGCAGACCTCCCTGCCACCTGCTTCAGTGGCCTACTTGAAATGACAACAGTTCTTGAAGCACAAATTCTTTCAGCAAGGCATGTCAGAGCTGAGCATGAATGCCCATGTTGATATGGGCTTCAGAGCTTCGTAGAGTTATGATGATTGGAAAACGCCTTTAAGATAATAGAGTCCAACTGTTCATCTCCCCTGGGTGGGGAGAAAACATGCCAAGGTGTTAGCATAGCACGGCGTGTTGCTAACCCTACCTTTTAAACTGTTTCTTGAGACTAATTCCCCTTGATAAGTTTAACTTGCTTTATTTTCTCTGGATATCTTGCACATCTCATTCCAGGCTGACTTTTTTTGAGGTGAAATGGGCGGTAGGTTGTAAAAGATGATTGCAGAGACTGAACCTTCAGTGCACAGTTTGAGTATTGCATTTTTTTCCCCTTTCTTCTAGGCCCTGTACCTATTCCCCGAATTACTCAGTACCTGTACTTTCTCTTTGCTCCCACCCTCATCTACAGAGACAACTATCCCAGGTAATGTGAACAATATCAATATAACGTTAAAGCAATCTAAATACTGAAGCTAGCATTAAGCATCCCTGGATGCAATCTATTCCATTTCTGAGTTCAGGTAGATCTGTTGGAGTCCTTAACTTGGCAAGGACAAGACAAGTGTCTTTGCAGAGTTCAGTCATGCAAACTCTCTCTGCCACTAGGAGTATTCTGACTTTGCCGTTGTGGTTTTACCTCTCTGGGAAGCAGCTGTATGAGCTAGCTGCTGAGTGCAAGTGGCTTGCAGAGGGGTTACACTTGAGTTTCAGGTGGCACTAGTAAGCAGCCCGTCTTGTGAGTTTGAGGAGGAGGTGGGTTGACTCATCTAAAACCAGGTGCTCCTGAACACTTTTGTTGCACTTTGACAGTGTGAAGTCAGCAATCCTGTGCAACTCCTGGGTGGATCACCATGTCCTATGTAATAGCAAAATGCTGCTCTCAAGTTACCTTCCCCTTTATGGTATTGTCTAAATTGTCTTGCTCTAGCTGAAAGGAAGGAACGAGTGATTTGGACAGATGTCTTGTAAGATCTTAAGAAATTAAGGACCTCTGAATTCTTAAAATGGTTTCTTTAGGGTCGAGGGTTTTAAAATCGGTAACTGAAGTGAGGCTTTTGCTGCCCAGAGATTATATTTAAATGTGACGTTGTGCATCCTTTTCCTAGGAATCCCACAATAAGATGGGGGTATGTAGCTACCAAGTTTGCACAGGTGAGTAATGCAGCTGACTAATACATTTTAAGAAATCATCCAAACTCTTGCTAAACAACTATGCCTTTAACAATAAGTTAAAGTGGTTTCGGGCTTATTAGAAAAGAATACCTTTTAGTCAAAAAAATAGAGAAGATCATCTTGAGTTCAAAAAACACAGGTGCTTAACTCAGCCTTTACAGTAACTTTCTTAAGTCAATGCCCTTCCATACAAGCTAATTGCATTTTGGGGAAAGAGAAGAGAGCAATGTCCACGCTGACTATCTCTGCACTGTTGTACTGCATTATCACATGTTCAGACCAGTTATGAAATCAAATTTTTGATAATTATTGAGCTTAAGTCTGACGTGGTCTTCACTTCAGGGTCAGAAAAGCCCATCTGGACATGAGCTTCAACAGCTGCTTGCAGGTGTACTTGCAAGTACTGTCTTTCAATTTTGAGGATGTGATCGTAGCCTTTGCTTTTGCATGATACATACCTGTTTAAAAAACCAAAAATACCTAAAGCATGGAAAGGCTTTTCGCCATCTGCAATCAGATCACTTTAACACAGTGACTTGTACTTTGAGGTCTACTTCTGGAGGATGAGTTCATGAGCCAAGTAAGCTCTGAGGCAGCTTGGCCTGTAAATATGATTTAATACTAAACTGAACCACACTTATTTTTCAATCCCTTCTGATTTATCCCGCACCTAGGTCACAAGGTACCTTCCACACTTACATTGGATTAAATCTTTTGCATCATGACTTAAGTGAATAGCACCAAAAGGAATTTAAAACTGGTGTAGTTCACTGCTTTTGACTGTCAAAGTGCTGTAGAGGTGTTAGAAGTTTACTTTGTCTGAATCCTTATGGAAGCTTATACATAGTAATATAAAATACTTAATCTTATGCTGGCAGCTGCTGCCCTTCTCCTGGAGTTGTAGTTAATTGTGCATTTCTCTTATGGAGCCAAGTTGTTTTCTTCCAGGTGCTTGGTTCCCTTTTCTATGCCTACTACATCTTCGTGAGACTCTGCATTCCTCAGTTCCGCAACAGCAGTCAAGAAACATTTCATCTTCGAGGGCTGGTTCTCTGCATCTTTAATTCCATTCTGCCAGGTAAGGCCTGGATTTATGGGTCACTCTGCAACTGTGGAAGAGATGGAAGGGAGAGGAAGTGCTTTATATTAGACACGTTAAAGGCAACAGCCCTTTCTGCCCTTCAGGGGTAGAAGGGGGATCCTTTCTGAGGGAAACAGCAGGCCAGGCTTAGCAATGGAGGTTTTGTGGGGAGGCTTTGGTGTTGTGGTGCCAAACTTCAGAAGGAACAGCACAAAATGACAAGTTGGGTTTGAATTTAAGCCTTTCAGAGCCAAGTCCTAGGCTCTGTGGCAGTCTTGCTGTTGCCCTCTGGTGTAAGGGTGACCCTGTGTGGTAAAAAATTGAAATACATTGACATTTTTTGTGTAGGTAGCATACAGGTAGCTGTTTTGGTGTGTTTAAGACTAGTCTTGACTGTTACATGCTCCTGACTATACCTGAGCAAAAAATCCTAATGCTTCTGATGCTCCATGTTTCCAGGTGTCCTGATCCTTTTCCTGGTTTTCTTTGCATTCCTTCACTGTTGGCTTAATGCGTTTGCCGAGATGCTGCGCTTTGCAGATAGGATGTTCTATAAGGTAAGATGCACAAGCTGTAGACTGTTAGAGTCAGCTTTTTCTTCTCTCAAAAGGCTAAGGGACGTTTTATAAAGCTTCTAGAATTACTTTCTCAAGTGGAAAGAGAAGGAAACTGGGTAGTTTAAACAAACAGAACATCCACAGTGTTTGCTTGTTTTATATTCCTAGGGTTTAAATTTGTTGCTACCCTGTAGAAGAGGGTAGGCCCTTTTAGTCTGAATTTTTTTAAGATAATATGGCCTGCACATGAACAGAAACAGCCACCAGACCTGTCTAATACCTGTTTAACGCTCTTTTCTTTTAGTATATCAGCTGCTGCATTCTGCGATGCAACATTTTACTTGCTACTAAAATGCAGTTTTAAGTGCAATGGTACACACTGTTTTATGGTGCTGTTTCTGTTGGTGTTACTTTGATCAGTGTTTTTGTATCCCTGAAAGGGCATAAAACATGAGTTATGCTTGTTTAGATTAGTTTTTATTCAATGCTTTCAGGACTGGTGGAACTCCACTTCCTATGCAAACTACTACCGAACCTGGAATGTAGTGGTACATGACTGGCTCTATTACTATGCTTACAGAGACTTCCTTTGGGTGAGTACCAAGCAAATCTCTTGCTTTTTTCATAAACCACGAGATATTTTTCCCTCCTCTTCCCCTTCTCCCCTAACCCAAGAAATAAGCTTGTCTGGAAAAGTGTTGTTGGGGATAGAGAATTTGCAAGCAGAAGAGAGTTAAAATATGAGTAATTTGTAGCTATTGTCCTCCATGTCTTTCAATGGTGTTCTGCGGTGACTTACACTTAACAAAATAGATCTACATTACCTTTTTTGTCTCTCTTTTTAAAAATAAAGAAATAAAAACAATGCTGTCACAGCTGAATTGTTTCTAGAAACCTCTGTCCAACACACTGCCTTTGTTTCAGCCCCTGTTGTCAGCAACTCCTATAGTGGTGTTCAAAACAAAAAACAGTTTCTTCCCCTTCAAGCTTTACAGCAAACTTCCCTAGCTATTTAAGTTTGGACAGTGACAAGTGAATAAGGACTTGTGTGTCTGAAGTCTCTTCTGATCTCAAGCTGCTACAATGGTAATAGCCTATAAACCTTGCCTTGCAGTGATCTAAAGGTGTAGGCTTCCAGCACATGGTGTTCAGGGTTAAGTGAAGGTTACTTGAACATTTGACTACTGAGCTAGACAGTACACTTGTCCAAAAGCAGCACTGCTGGCTGTTAGGTCCGTAGCTGATTCAGCTGGGTTCATTTGGCTAGCTCTCCTGGTTATACTGCTGTTCAGTATAAAGTCCTCTGTGTGTGTAAAATGGAGCTCTGAAACCTTCTCTGTGACACAACACTCAACTCCTGTTCTCTGTTTTGAAGAACTATGATAGATGGCTCATGAGTGGACTTGAGGTGAGTACTAATGCTGCAGAGCAGAAAGATGCCTGAAGATGAGTACTTAAAACATGTTGTGTGCTGAAAGCACACAGTGCTTCAGCTGTTTTGGTTGGAGCAGGTCTTTCTTAGCTCAGGCAAATGACTTTCAAATGAACAAACTTAAAATGCAGCGGAATAGCTTATCCTTTGTTGTTACCTTTCAGTTTTTTGGTAAGAAGTTCAGAGCAGCAGCTATGTTGTCAGTCTTCACGGTCTCGGCTGCTGTGCATGAGTATGTCCTGATTATCTGCTTCGGCTTCTTCTATCCAGTTCTCTTCTGCCTCTTCATGTGCTTTGGAAGTAAGTTCCTGAGTGTGAGTGTGGTGTAGATTTGGGGAGCTGGGTGATGAGTGTGGTTCTTAGATAAGTTTTGTTCTTTTGATAGCATGTAAAAGACTACTGATCCCAACCTGCTCTTGACTCGCAGCACTGTTCCTTGTCCAGGAGCCCACAAAGGTGGGCCTGAACCTTCCAAATGGGTTTGTGCAGCTAATTAGCTCCGCACTGACAGACTGGGTTTGCAAACTTGGGTCTTGGAGACAAGCAAGACATAGATGGTGAGCAGGAGAAGACAATATATGATATAGTGTTGTTCATGTCTCAGAGACTGCCAAAGCTTGTCCTGGGGGTGGATGATGAGCAAGTTGAGAGCTTGTGGGTAAGGATTCAAGGGCAAGCTAATGTGGGAGACACTGTGGTGGGTGTCTGCTACAGGCCACCTGATCAGGACAAGGAGGCTGATGAGGCTTCTACAGACAGTTGGGAGTAGCCTCACGGTCTCAGGCCCTGGTTCTCATTGGGGACTTCAATCACCCTGACATCAACTGGAAATGCAACACAGCCAGGCACAAACAGAATAGAATCATAGCATCGTTAAGGTTGGAAAGGACCTCTAGAAATCATCTAGTCCAACCCCCCTGCACACGCAGGGTCACCCAGAGCACGGGGCACAGGACTGCGTCCAAGCGGGTTTGGAAGATCTCCAGAGAAGGAGACTCCACAACCTCTCTGGGCAGCCTGTGCCAGGGCTCTGGCACCCTCACTGTTAAGAAATTTTTCCTTAAGTTCCTGTGGAACTTTTGGTGTTTCAAGATGGGGAGGAATAGGGGAACATGCAGTAGAGTCAGTGGAAGTTTTTACTTATTAATCTTGAGGATTTCTTCTGAAAATTGCCTTTCATTTCACTTTTTTCCAGTGGTCTTCAACTTCATCCTTAATGACAGGCGGAAAGGGCCTATCTGGAATGTGGTCATGTGGACGTCCCTTTTCCTGGGCCAAGGTGTCATCCTTTGCCTCTACAGCCAGGAGTGGTATGCCCGCCAGTACTGCCCTCTGGAAAACGTGAGTGACTGACCTTCCCTGTGGAATAACTGACCATCCAAGCAGCTTGTCCTTTCTTGCCATGGGAACAGGGCAGGAATTAAGTGGCACGAGCCTTTCTGACAGTACGTGGGAACAGTTCATTAAATGTGTTCACTGTAGGAATTGCAGAGACTCTGGGAAGGCTTTGTCTGGTAGAATTGCTTACACTAGTGCTCCTTCTGTGCCTAGTGGTGTATCGTACTTGAAACTTTTTTCCCACATCTCTGAGAGGGCACAAGCCACTGCTTGAGAGCACGTTAGGCCAGTCAGGCTGCATGAATAGAACAGCAGCACTTGGTTAACAAGGTCAGGAGAAGCTCTTCCAAGGCACCCACAAAAACTAAGCCTAAAAACTGAGCCTTTTCCAGGGTCTGGTGTGGGTAGCAGTGAGTTGGTTGCTTAAAAAGCAGAAAAAGTAAAGGTCCAACTCTAAAATCAAATGGACAAATTATAGCTAATTTCTGATACCCTCTATTTCAAAAAAAAAAATCTTGCCATGCCAGTTGATTTCAGCCTTGCCCAAAAGTGCTTCCTGGAGAACTAAGCTTCAGTTCAAGTGTGCCTCGCTTTGAGCTCACGGGTGTAGAGGTGCCTGCTTCGTGGCAGCACGCACTGCTGGACGCACCGTTCAACTGGTGTCACAGCTGGGCTGAGGGGGTGGTGGGGGATCAGCCTCTTATGGCTGTAGCTACTTTCATACCTCTCTGGTGGAGGCAGAGGAGGGCTGCAGGGTGGGAATGTCTTATCTCCCCTGCCAGGGGACCAAACAGACTTTCTTCAGCTGCTGCTATTTTTCTGTGACTCACACATTACCTGTCTCTATTTTCCAGCCCACATTCCTGGACTACTTAAAGCCACGCTCATGGTCATGTCATACGCAGATGTAAAAGCAGATACCTCGGCTGCATCATCGCCACAGAAGATCAGAGTCATCCTCCAAGCATTTGGACCACTTACCCAGCTCACAACAGACTCTTATAAAGGAAGTTGTGCCTCCTGTCTACTGGGGAGAAACTAATATTTTTTGTAACTTTACCGAGGCGACCCAGTTGAACTGGATTGTGACAGGCTTCACAGGCAGCATCTGGTGCACACTGTCCCACTTTGAGCCATTTTCACACCAGTAAAAACATGGAGCTGAAAGTGGAGTCTACTGGAATCTTGCTCATCCCCGGGTCCCCCAAATTGCTGCTCTTCTGAACAGTAGATCAGACTTGCTAGTTTTTTCACTGTTGGCCTCCATCCATCTCCCATCCCTTTGCAGTTACTTTTCCCTTTTGATAATGGGATGTGTCTGCAAAACTTGAAGTCTTTGTGACCCTGCTTGTTGCCGCAGCACTAAGTAACGGAGCAACAGGTTACTTGCATCTTTGCTGTGAACTTAGCCAAAGTATTCCTGAAGAGCTTTGAGAAATGCGTTCTACTGCCGGCTGCTCAGAGATTTAAAATGGGTAGAGGAAGAGGGATTGTCAGCTGACTCGTGATTGTGCTGGAGGGTCAGTTCTTGCTTTACAAAAGTTTGCTACATTCAGAAGCAAGGCATGGTGGTAGCAGTTTGTCCTTTTCTGTACTGAAAGTCTTGCTTTTCTTAAGTAAGCCCAATCTCTGCATTTAGATTTCCAGCTGACTTGCGCCAGCTCTGAAGGCCCTGTGACTTGTTTCATTTTTTTCTTTTTTCTCTATTACTGTTGCTCCAAGGTGATCGGTTCTCGTAATACGTTTTACAAGTTAAAGAACTTTTGCTTTAATTAGGCAGGTGCTTTAAGGTATACGAGTTGTCAGGCTTTCTTTGGTGAGAAAGCTCTGCAATGCTGTGACCCTACTGTAAGAATATTAGACTTTATAGGTACTTGGTGCCCTCCCATTTGAAATGCCTACATCAAATCCAGTGCCAGCAGGTTTTGGTGCCTCCTGCCAACATATATTTTAACAGCTTCTCACCACCCCTCAATGGGCCATTAGCAGCTGGAGTTAGAGCTGCTCTTCCTTTCATCTCTCTCTACCTACTCTTGCACCAGGGAGGATTTCAGGTGAAGATTAGTTTCCTAGACACTGTCCCATCCTTCCGTGGTCCCATACATACCCTTATGGGGAGAAATATGTATGAATTTGTCGATATCTGTTTTGCAATAGGAGCTACCTGATCTATTCACTTTGGAGCTTAGAGTCCTTCCACTCCGGACCTTCGAGTTTGGCAGAGCCAGATGATTACTATGACTCGAGTATGTGAATCGCTGGTTTTATTACAAACACAGCTCCCATTATCGGAGGGGGAGGCTAACTTGATTAGAGGTACCTTAGCATTGGTCAAAGGATTTTCTTAATTAATCAAAAGTTCTAGACTGGCATTTTTTCAGTAATGATTCTTCTTTACCTAGACATTGTTAGCCAGTGTCTCTGGTTGCTGAACTTCTCTCAATCCACTTAAGACTGTTTTGCGCTACTATTTTTTTATTAACCTGAGTTCATAAAAGCTGGGTGATACTTCAACTCTTTTTGTTTTTCAGTTTTCTGTGGAAAAATTCTGCTCATCAGAAAGGACATTCATTATGTCAGTTAATTTTGCCAAATCCAGGCTTTGCCTGTGCAGTTCTCTGCGAAGAAAAAACAACAAAGAAAAACTCCTGCTAGAACTTGTTTCCTTGCTGAAGCAGTTGTGTTAACTTCAGGGGAAGTTTGTGAATATACTCAAACTTGGCAGTATTAGTATATATCCTGAGAAGGCCATGGATTACTTTCTTATTCAATTTAAATAATCCTATTTTTTTTTTCAGGTTACCTTTGGGATAGGTTCTAGACCAATTAAGGAGTCTCTCTTAGCCCAAGCTTCCTTTATAAAACCAACCCTCAAACTCTTTGTGGCCAAAGAGTTTTGTCACCTGCTTACCACAGAGTGGGTACAAGTCCATTCCTCTTGAGTCATGGTGCTCAATTATGTACAGCTGCAATTGCACTCAAATAGGGTGTGATGGATCGAGTACTTGAGTTTATTTCTTGATGCCTGTGTCAGGTCTTGCTACTATCTCAGTGTTCTCAACAGGAGACCAAATCGTGGCACTTTGTGCCAAGTAGTGGTATTTCCCTCACAGCTGGCTCTGTGCCATATCCCTAAGAAGGATCTGGGCTTTTTCTTGTGTCAGCGTGAGGAGATGGAAGGGCTTGAGTGCCTGGCAAGCAAAACCCAGCCAGAAGGGATGCTTGGCTGCTGGAACTCGTCTGTTTTTGATGGGGGCAAGTTTTCAACCTTGTAGATCAAGACATCTGGCGACTCTTCTGTTAAGGCATTAACACTTGGGATTATTTTCAACTTTTTTTTTTTTAAATTGCCTTCCAATGTGAGCTTGTTTTAATTTTTCTGGAGGGGAAATAATGTTCTGCATGTTGCTTGTTTAATTAGTCACACTGGGTTTGTTTTGAGAAGCGTTTCCTTGGGCTGTGGGAGCCAGAGCCAGCTGTATAGTGCTCTTCTGGCCAATAACTTGTATGCTGAGACTTGCAGCCTGTCATCTTCAAATTGGTAATAGCAATAGTATATGCAGTTCCCTGCGGTGCTTGCCAGGCTGAGCATCACGAAGCTTGCTTCCATGGTAACTCGTCTGTTTGGAAGTGGAATTCCAGCTCTGGAATGGTGGCCAGACAGCTGCAGCGCTTTGCTTGGTAACACTAAGGAAACAGTATTAACGTGGCGGAAGGTGTTCCAGTTTTCATGTGGATAACTTCCTTCTCGGGAAGGCTGAATCTGTGCAGCGTCTTCATGCCTAGTACGTTCTTTCCATTGGGATATTTGGCTTCCAGCTTCCAGAACCGAAACAGTGCTGCGCCGTCCGAGCTGTTCAGTGAGCTGGGCTGGGGAAGGGGGCAGTCCTGGTGTTATTTGTTTTTGGAATGTGTCTGACACAAAGTGGCCCATCTGCTTAAAGGAAAACTGCGGTTCTTGGGCTCCTGAATGTGGATGGGCCAGTGGGATGGCCAGGCTGGTGTGAACGTGGCCTGGGAGGGAGCCCCCCTGCTCCTGCGGTGCCTCCGAGCCAGCCCAGCCCCTTCCAGGGCCATGGATGGGCCCTGTGGGACCTGGCAGCTGGTGCCCTGCCAGTGTACGCAACCTGTACCATGTTCTGTCCTGCAGAAGAGCTGTCTATATAATCTACTGTATTACAGCAGTTGAAATATATTTTGCTATTGGAGAGAAAAGTTGCTGTGGCCTCTTAATTTTCTTTTTGGAGGCTCCCAAACCTGGGTTGCCCTCCTTGTCTGGGGGGCTGGCAGGGGATGTGGGTGCCAGCCCTGGGCAGCCCCCTGTGTCCCCATAGCCACATGGAAGAGATGTGGGGCTGCAGGGGTGGTGGGGCTGGGGGCTGCCTCTGCCAGAGGAAGGCTCTGGGCCGCTTTAGGGGATGAAGACTGCGAATGGAGGGGCATGACGGCAGCCCGAAGCTACCTGTGCTCCCTGCCATCCCGGCCATGGCCCCAAACTTCCCTCTTCCCATTCCAGGCCTTGTTGTAGGGATTTTCAGAGCAAAACTGCTAGCCCAGAGGGGCTGCAGGTGATGCTGGGATATCCAGAGTGAGGAAAGGGCTCCCGGGAGCTGCTGGTGCAGAGGGCAGTGCAGTTGCCAAGTGTATTTAGGGCTGATGATTTCTGCCTCTCTTGGGCCTGAAGAGGAGTTTGTGTGCCAAGACCTCTATCGGGTGTTTTCCAGCCATGTCGCAGATGCTCTGAAGTCAGCCCTTGCCTGTGTCCTTAAGCTGCTGCAGCTCAGAACAACCCCATTAATCTCCTCATCCTTTCGGCGGGGGAATACAGTGTTCTGCCAAATTGAGCTGTTAGGGAAGGAAAACAAAATGACTTCTCCTGACAGAAGGTCTCTTGGCAAATCCTTGTATTTTCTTCCCAAGAAACCATTTTGCTGGCAAGGTTATGCCATGGTTATAACACTGTGTGCACAAATGTGCACATGAGGCAAAGCAGAGTTAACCTAAAGAGAAACCATGATGCGTGGGGATTCTGCTGATGTGCAGGCCCGTGTTTAATACCAAGAGCCCTTGTAAAGAGCAACATAAAGTAGGGACAAAGGCCTTTTAAATGAGAATTCCTGGGGATTTCAATGGGAATATGACTTTTTTTTTCCCCCTTCATTAGCAAGACATTAATAAGAATTACAAAGTGGTAGGAGTGATACCTGGAGGAATTGAAATGCAATTAAATCTCTAGCACAATTATTAGATGTGTAAAAGAAGCAACCATTAACTTTAATTCTTAATGCAGTTTGCAAATGGAAGAACAAGCGTCCTGTGGTGGATGAACAGAGCTCTTCCAGCTGCCTGAGTAAGTGCTTGTACAATAAACTATTGCTTAGCAAAAACTAATAAATTGCAGAAGTGATATTTGGCTTTAGTGCAGTATAATCACAGGCATTTATGGAGCATTCAATGACTGTTAAGTAATCATTTATTTTGGTTATGAAACAAATTTTCATGAGTCCAATTAGGTAAAGGGTAAGGCTGATTTGTAAAGCATCTCCCTTGGTAGAGATGTTTAATTGCCTTACACAAACCAAGACATCAGCTGTTTTGGGCCTGTTTAATATATCTAACATGAGACACAAGATGGGTGGTGTTCCCTACCCAGTAAATAATAAAAAGGCAGGTCACCCTATAAGGTGTGAACACAGGTTTAATTCTGTTTTCAGATCATTTGTGAGCACTTCCTTTGTTCAGTGTACAAATAACGAACCTTCTGCCATGTCCATCACCGGAGCACCAGTTGCTGTATCAAAAGCAGATGGAAGGAAACAAAGAGCTGCCTTATGTGCCATGCCTGGCAGCAAAGACCCCTCAGGTAGGGCTCACTTTGCGGCTGGACATCTCCACCCTAAAGGGCTCCTGTTGTTTTTATGGCCTTGCTTAGTATCCGGGCCACCCCATGGGTGGGTAAAGGTGCTTTTGTCTCCCATGGTTTGAGTACAACTCCTGTTCTGGGCTTCACTGTAGAGCCAAAAATGGGATCTGCTCTTTATGTTGTGGATTTTGTGTTTTAGATGCAGAAAAACCAGAGCTACTGAATGCTGCCTTTGCTTCAGTGTTTACCAAGGGCAGCCCTCTGGAATCCCAGACCCTAGAAACCAGAGAAGGTGCCTGGAGAGTGGAAAACTTGCCCTGGGTAAACGAAGATTGGGTCAGAGGGCACCTAGGGAAACCTGACCTTGACCCACAGATCCGTGGGCCCTGATGGGATGCACCCAGTGGGGCTGCGGGAGCTGGCGGATGTTGTTGCGAGGCCACTCTCCATCTTCAAAAGGTCCTGGAGAATGGGGGAGGTGCCAGAGGGCTGGAAGAAAGCCAATGTTACACTAGTCTTCAAAAATGGCAAGGAGGAGGACCCAGGCAATTACAGGCCAGTCAGTCTCACCTCCATCCCGAGAAAAGTCATGGAGCAGCTCATCCTGGCTGTTGTCTCCAGACATGGATAGGGAGGTGCTCAAGAGTAGTCAGCATGGATTTACCAAGGGGAAATAATGCTTGACTAAACTGATAGCCTTCTATGATGGAATGACTGGCTGGATAGATGAGTGGAGAAGGCTTTTGACACCGTCTCTCACAGCGTCCTCCTGGGCAAGCTCGGGCAGTGTGGGATAGATGAATGGATGCTGAGGTGGATTGAGAACTGGTTGAATGGCAGAGCTCAGAGTGGTGATCAGTGGTGCAGAGTCCAGTTAGAGGCCTGTGGCTAGTGATGTCCCCCAGGGGTCAGTCCTTGGTCCAGTCCTGTTCAATTTATTTATCAATGACCTCGATGAAGGCACAGAGTGCTCTCTCAACAAGTTTGCTGATGATACCAAACAGGGAGGAGTAGCTAATACCCTAGAGGGCTGCGCTGCCATCCAGAGGGACCTGGACAGACTGGACAGCTGGGTGGTGAAAAACCTCATGCAATTCAACAAGGCCAAGTGCAAGGTTCTGCACCTGGGGAGGAATAACCCCAGACACCAGTACAGGCTGGGGACTGACCTTCTGGAGAGCAGCTCTGCGGAGAAAGACCTGGGTGTCATGGTGGATGACAAGTTGACCATGAGGCAGCAGTGTGCTCTTGTGGCCAAGAAGGCCGATGGGATCCTGGGGTGTGTTAAGTCGAGGGTCTCCAGCAGGTCGAGGGAGGTGATCCTGCCCCTCTACTCAGCCCTGGTGAGGCCGCATCTGGAATATTGTGTCCAGTTCTGGGCCCCACAGTACAAGAGGGATGTGGAGCTGCTGGAGAGAGTCCAGCGCAGGGCTACAAGGATGATCTGGAACATCTGCCCTATGAGGAGAGGCTGAGGGAGCTGGGCCTGTTCAGCCTGAAGAAGAGAAGGCTGAGAGGGGACCTGAGCAGTGTCTCAAGGGAGGCAGTGAGGAGGATGGTGCTGGCCTCCTTTCACTGGTGGCCACCAACAGAACTAGGGGAAATGGCCAGAAACTGAAGCATCTAAAGTTCCACATGAACTTAAGGAAAAATTTCTTACCAGTGAGGGTGACAGAGCACTGGAACAGGCTGCCCAGAGAGGTTGTGGAGTCTCCTTCTCTGGAGATCTTCAAAACCTGCTTGGACGCAGTCCTGTGCCACGTGCTCTAGGTGACCCTGCGTGTGCAGGGGTTTGAACTAGATGATCTCTAGAGGTCCCTTCCAACCTTACAGATTCCGTGATTCTGTGATAGAGCTGCTCTTGCTTTGGGTGTAAATCGAGTAGGTGTTCGCAAGGCTCTTCTCTGTCCTGTGTTTTATGATTGCTTTTATTTTCTCCAGCTGAGTAATCGTGCACCTCACAAGCAGGTTTTAATGCTGTTTTCTAGCATTCCCTGAGCCAAGGGGTTCATCAAGGATGCTTGACCGTATGAGGCCTGTCTCCCCACTGGAGTTCAGTTTTGTCCCAGAAGAGATCTTCCGAGCACTGACTTCTGCTGCTGCTTCTCTTCCCAGCCCGGAGCACCTGCAAGCGGCCAAAAACACAGTGGGCCTCAAGGTGAGTCCGTTACTGCCTTTTTCTACCTAGAAATGTCCCCTTGCTAGGGGAGCATAGTCTTCACATGGACAAAATGAAAGTTTGCTAACTGAGGAGGATAACTTTAGCTCGTCGCATCACTTTCCTCATAGTGTCCCTTGTCGCAGCTCCTAAGTGCTGTCTACTAGTAACAGCAAGAAGGGAAACACGGTCCCTGGCACGCTTGTGTCGACATAGCCTCAAGAGAGACCGTTCTCTCTGTGTTCGTGTCTCTAGGGCCAAGATAGGAACTGTTGTGTTCGGAGAGGCTGCTCTCCCCTTGATCTGCATGTGTCTTGCTGTGAAGTGACGGTCCCGTGTGCTTCCTCCCCAGGGCTGTCTGCAGACCCCCGATGGGCTCTGGCATTACCCGAATCGCCGTGGCAAGTTCAGGCACCTTACGGACCACCCTGTCAGCCTGACAGGAGCTGGAAGGTGAGTGGGGAAGGGATGAGGGCCATGGGAAGACAGAGCTGCAGGGATCACTCCATCCGTTTTCACATCAGATGATCGTGCTGCCCAACACACAGACACACGACCGCAGTCCCAGCAGAGTTCAGGCTGGAAGGGTAGATGTTTCTTGCAGGAATTGTAAATAAAATATTGCTGGCTACGCTTCTCGTGGCGTTGTGCTTCCATAAGAGCCAGCACTTGCAGCGATATCCTCTGTGATCCGGGATTAAGAAAAGAAGCTCTTCTGGTTTTAACAGGCTTAGCAGGGAATAGCTTTACAGTCTTTTGTAAATATAATGCAAGGCTTTAAGTAAAAATGTTTGATATCATGCTGTCTGTAACAGACATCAGATATATATCTGATAGGGCACAGGCAGCAGCCAGGGATAGATGATGTGAGACTAATCTGCCTAAAAACGTGGTCTTGCCAGTCTGCCTTGGCCCCAAGGAGAGCGTCCTGGCTGTAGGCCCGGCCCTGGGCCGAGCGGAGCCATCTCGTGCGTGGTTTCGGTGGGCGGCGAGTGAGCAGGGGAACGAGCTCTTCCCTCCGTTTCAGGGATGTCTCCTACCTGTGCGATGTTGTGGCTGGCCAAGAAGACACAAAGCCAGGGGCTCCCGGGAGCTCCCTTCCTGAGAGCGATCGGGAGCAAAGGAGGAGAAGTGGGGCTGCTTCAGGACTTGCTGTGAGTGCTGGTACTTGGGCGTGTTTTTTTTTGCATGTACTGCTGAGAAGAGAAGTCTTTATTACCCTTTCCTGATTCAGCCCTGGGTTGCAGCTGTGTTTGGCTGCAGCTTTTAGGATAAAACTCATTGGTGCTTCTTGAAGCTCACAGCCCCTCAAGACAGTTCATTGTTACCTGTTTCAACCTGTCTTCCCGTTTAGTTTGTTTCTGGTAAGTTCTCAATGAAGAGAGAGGGAAATACAAAAGTTGCCTGAAAAGCTGCTTCGTGATTTCTCCTTTCTTGGTTGCCAAAACAGGATGCTCTTTGGGAAGAATGGGTTGTTCGTGCACGTCATTGATACCGATGCGTTTCAGGCGCTGCTTTCTTTTCTATTCCTAGCAAGCAAGCCTACAAGAGTCTCTGGTTCCGGAGGAGTTTCACATTGTGAAGAACAGGGGAGTTTTGCCCTTGAAGTATTTTGATGAGTGAGTGTTTTCTGATCTACAAGTTCCTTTTTCCCGAGCTGTAAGGACCCCACTGTGGTTTGGAAAAGGGGGATAAAACGATGAGAGGCCGAGAACAGCAGCCATAAACCCTTCCTGCAAGAGGGGAGCTTACAGAAAGGGTGGTTGTGCAAATGGCACCCAGGTGACTGGGCTGTAGCCAGCTGTGCAGAGCAACGTGAGCCTGCTTTTCCTTGCCTCAACTGCTTTGGGGTGGGCAAAAGAGATCACAGCTCCCTCTACACTCTTACTAATTCCCAAGGTGTTTTTTTTACTGGTTGGGCCTGAATTCAGGAGTGGAGATTTGCTTTGGATATTGATACTGCTAATAACTTCTAAACCCAATGGTTGGTTTTGGCCAAGAATGGGGGAGAAGAGAGAGGTCTTAAGGAGAGGATGTTACTACACAATTCCCTCTGAAGGGAATCACCCATTTTGGGAATCACCACACTGAACCTTGTGCAGGAGCAGCAGAGAGCAGGGTCTCTCACCTCGCACTGGAGGGGCTGCATTGTGATCCCCTTTTAATGTTTGTCTTTGTTTCAGTAAATACACCACTCTCCTCGAGGACCGTGAAGAGAAACTACGACTATTCCCTTCCCTGTAAGTGATGCTGCCTTGTGTAAAGTTGCTATTGGGGGAAGAAAAAAAAAGGGGGGGGGCAGGTTAATTCCATTTCCTGGTAAAATATCAAAGCATTGTATAGAGAATAATGATGTATCTCTGTCATCTGGGTTACAGGAAACCTTCCGGGAGGCTAGAGGTTGTCCAGCTGATGGAAGCCATGGACAGCATGTTGGAAAAAGCTGGAGTGGACAACAAGCTAATTGGAATATCAGGACCTTCACAGGTGGATAACTCACTAGTACCCAGAAAAACTAAATCCTGTTTTCCCCAATGTTTATCCTTCCTGGGTTTAAAATGTCTCCCATATGTTTCTACCCAAGCCGACTGCCTGGAGAGCCTGTAGTAACTATAGGTTTCCACTCCTGAGCTGCTACAGCCCTTGGTCTGCCCGTGACAAACATTTAGCTCCCTAGTGCAGGGGTTGCTCTTCTGCCACAAATGCCAAGAAGGAAAGTGTGCAGCATTGCTGTGTTCAAATTAGCAGGAAAGTCTCTGTGGACTCTGGCAGGAGAGTAGTTGGTGTGTAGCACTTTTACAGATGAACCAGTAAGTGCATTTAGGATGGCTTTTTCCCCTTCCCCTTTCTGCATTTAGTAGTGAGTGTTTGTTTTTTTGGGTTTTTTTTGCTTTTTTTTTTGCTTTTTTTTGTTTTTTCTCCTTTTTTCCCCCCTCAAAGGGAAACCTATCTCAGATGTAAGAGAAGTCTTTGCTGATCATGGTTGTTCAAGGAGTAAGCTTGCCAGGCTGTGACTTCTCGTGTGTTTTGCCAGCTGCACAACATGCTGGAGCTGATGAGGGCAGAGCAGAACATTTACAACATCGTTTTCCACGAGCTGATTCGACAGGTCAGCGTGGACTGCGTCGAGAGAGGACAGCTGCTCTCCAAGCTCAGGTTATACTTAGCCAAGTCCCCTGGTCCCCTCCGGGTTTAGGGCCGTATCCTCTCGGCAGTAGCATGGGTGCCATGGGGTATGACGCTGAAGGGACATTTTTCATGTGCTGAGTAACTGGGGCTTATCGGGGCCAGGGTTCCTGTGCTCTTCTGCCCTGTGCATACTCAGACTTATTGTAGCAACTAAGTTGTGCCAGAGTGTTCAAAATCCCAAGTGTAGCTGGTCAAAAGCTCCAGAGAGCTTTGCACAGTGAAAATAAAAGATTTGCAGGTGGGATGAGAGAGCTGTTCTCTCAGGAAGCTGAGGTAACTTCCCTTTTTACACTCTCTCATTGCAGGCAGAAATATGTGAGTCTGCTGGAGCGAATTCCTCATCAGATGAAGACCTTCTACAGAGAAATGATGGCCCAGCGCTTGCTTGACAGACATATTATAGAGGAGTTGTTCTATTTCAAGGAGTCTATTGCACAGCTGACCAGGTCTGAACCTTGCCTGATGCTAAGTAATCTCAATGCAGTAGATTTAGCATGTTGATTTGTTCAATTTTCTAATACGCCTCCCCTAGGAGTAGGAAATGAGAGTTAGTTTTTGATTTGAACAAGAGCTACAGGATCCATAGCAGAGCCTTCTCACACTTCACACCGTAGCCTCACACTGCACAGGAGCACAGAGTAACAGCAAGGCCTTGTCCGTGCCTTAGCACCCTGTGCAGAAGCTGGAGAGATGTCCATGCATAGGAAGAGGAGTCTTAAAGACACCTTTCACCTTACAGGGAGGTGCTTGTGTTTGAGGAAGGGAACCTTGCATGACAGCAGGTTTAGGTGAAGTTCAGGTTGTGCTAAGCTGCGTTCAGACTGTTCCTTGCTGTTTCAGGGAGCTCTATGAGCTGCGAGAACACGACTGGAGAGTGACCAGAGAAGCAGAACAAGCTCAACAGGAGCTCGCTGAAGCTGTGCGGGAGGCTGAGATGAATGCAAAGTAAGTTGTGCTCCAAGTTTAGGTTGCTGAAGTGTGCTGGTATCATTCTCTTGGGATTGTCCAGGAGGAGACACAAGGGCTGACTGCCTTCTGAGGAAGACAGCTAGTCTGACACATGCAGTTATTTTGCCATTTATCCTAAATCCTCAGGAGGATGTTCCAAACACTAGTATTTTTAAGCCATAGAAGCTGCATTTGTTGCTCAGTGTATTCCCATTCCTTCACATTTTCAGTAGGCAGCTTCACAGTCTGGTGGCAGCTGCTGGTCTCAAGTTTTGAGCACCTGTGCACACCTTGACATAGTTGAGCAGCAGAGGATTTGGGTAGTTGGTATCAGAGCTGTGTTGAGTGCTGAGGCACTGCTGACTTGCACAGTTTATGCGTCATGAAGATGACAACTAGTCTAAGCCCAGCAGAGATTTGTATCCCTGCCAGCTGGAAACTCACAGTGGGAATATCAACAGAAAGGAGAAAGTAAACTTTGTTAAGAAGAAAGGGGTGAGCACCTATTTCATTGTCTTTCCCTTCTTGTAGCCTTGTGGAAGAGTATCGGGAGCTGTATGAGTTACAGAGAACCAGGCTGGAAGAGCAGATTCTCCTGCTAAGCCAAGAAAGAGATATTTGGAGCTCAGCTGCCTATGACCTGGCATTGAAGGTAAGTGCAGAATATTGGCCATACACTGCAAGACATATTGTTATAACCAGCAAACTTCTTCCAAGGGAAGATTTCATCCCAAAGCACGCTTTTATTTAATGTTCCTGGGCACTAGCATATCTCATATGCATAGCCCTGAAATCTTTTTGTCAACTCTGTATTTCTTTTGCATCAATTTGCAAACCAATTGATTCACATAGCTTTTTTTGGCACAGGTCTTCAGGTCCATGTGTGAAATGAGTATTTCCATTCAGAAATAGTTTTAGATCTTTCCTGGTTTTCTTATAGTTTGGAATACACTAGCCAGATTCCTTAGACATCCTCACAAAATATTCTGAGTTAACACTGTCCTTTATTGTTTGTGTGTCCCCTTTTACTTTATCCTCTTCAAGTTGAAAATCTGATACCAGAACTTTGGGGGTTTCCTGGGAGATAAATATATTTGCAAGGAAAGGGGACTCAGCTGCTTGAGTTCTGTTTTACTGACAATTAAGCTGCAATGCAGCTATCAGGAGTGGCATTGTCCTGCAGTGCCCTTCCTCTCCCAACAGTGCAAATAATAAATGTTTCTTTCAGGTGATAGATAGAAACCGGCTCATACTGGCTCGCAAGCTCTATGTTAGTGAAAAAATGCTGTTCAAAGTTCTCAAGCATTTCATAGTCCTCTTGGCATCACAGGTAGGAAGCTGTCTGCAATGCTTAACTACGCCAAGCGCTTTCAAGTGGGGGAAGGTTTGTGTAACTACCTAGCTCTCAATGAAGTGTTTGATACTCTGGCTATGATCTGAGCTTACAAATGTTGGTCTGATTTCAAATGAGCATTAAGACTTGAAATAATATTCTTTTCTTCCCTTCTTTCTCTTTCCTTCGTGCCTAATATTCCTTTATTTTCCCTTTCTGTTTTTCCCTGTTCCATATCCATTAAACCAGAACAGGTCAATACTAGTGTAATTTTGGACCCAATGTGTGGGGCTGTGTGGTCTCTGCATAGCAAATGGAAAGCAAAGAGTCAGGCATCTGGTTTTGGCATCCTGTGGAAGGGTCAGGCCTGCTTGAGTCATGCCCAAGGGTTTATGAGGGCTGCATGTGGAATTAGGGAAACTTCCCAGCTCCCAGATCTGACACATGTATGTCTCAAAGCAGCTTGGGCAAAGGAAAAATTCCTTTGACTTGGGTCAAACGGGTCACGACAACGTTTCCTTTTCCCTCTCCCCTGCCTGGGGCCTGCAGGACACAAAAGACGTCGCTGATCTGCAGGAGGAGACGGAGCACTTCAGGTTAATGCTGGGCTGCATCGGAGCAGAAATAGACTCCTGTGAGGAATGCATCAAGGAAAAACTGCACATCATCCGCCAAGGGCTTGCCAGGTGGCTTCAGTACTTCCAGGAAGATATTCTGTGAGTGGCACAGAGGGGCCGGGGTGGCAGCAGCCACTTCCCTGCACCTTTTCTCTGCTTTGCAGCAGGTCTCCCTGCTCCAAGGCAATCACTGTCCTGCCTTAGAGCCTCTAAAGGGTGGGGTATGCTATGGTCCATGATTTGCACATCCCCCACTGCTCCACTCTTGGATACATTCTCATAACCAGGTCCCTAACAGATATTGGTACCTCCAAAATGATGCTGCAAGGTCATGGGGCATTAATTGAATGGAGAGGTGGCTGCTGACTTCAGGGAAAAGAGGATTCTACCCTCTCTGAATCGGAGCTTCCTTTCTGCACTCCATTTTTTCCTGAGATTGTTAATAACAGAATTTTTCTGTTTAGTTTGGTTAATTTTAACCTGAATGCACATTTATTAATGCTTCTAATAGAGCACAATGGACAAAACAAGACATTAAGAGTCTTGAGACTTCATACTCATGGTCTTTTTGTTAACATAGTTATATTTTTGCAAAATTTTGTTCGTACATTGCCAAATGTTAAATACAGTAAAATATAAGTGCAAGCATGTTTGACATTTTATTCATGGACTTAATAACAGTTCAATTTTCAGCATGTTCTTTTCTGCTGAAAATAGTATATTTTCTTAATTGACGCCCAGTGCTTTTGTAATGTCAAATGAGGAAAAAAAAATTCCTGCCTGGGTAGAGCTTCATCTCTTTCAAGTTGCAACTTACATCATATACATATACATAAACTCCATATACATAAAATATATTTTGACTTTTGTTTTTTCATCAGCTCCTGAGGGATTCTTTTTTCATCTCTTACTCTTTTCTTCTTTCTCTGCTTTAGTTCCTCTCCAATGAAGGCAGAGCTATTTGATGAAATGCTACAAGATATCAAGAACTTGGAAAATGTAAGATTTTGGGGGTGGGTGATATTATTGAATGATATCTGCTCAGCAGATGAGCACTTGTCAGCCGAGCCGCGGTGAGTATCTGTGTCCATCACAAATGTGAGAGAAAACATATCAGCTTATTTTTTTTTTGTTCTGAAGCTTAAGCTAAGAGTCTGCAATAGAAAGTTATAATGAACAAATATCATAGCTCAGCTGAAGCATTAAACTTATTCATTTGAGCACCATCTTGATGACGGCTCTGGTGACTGATAAATTATATTAATGTGTAGAAACACTCAAAATTGTTACCCTCACAGAGTAGGTTTTCAGCTTCTGTCATTTGCTTGGACTATGACATCTTTATGCTCAGGGATCCCTGTACTTCTTACCCATTTCCATTGCCTGTCTGTTGCAGCTAAGAGGTGACCCAGCTTTTGGGGGCATGCCAACCTTGCTGCTTCTCTTTCAGCTGTTAAATGAAAGCCTGCAGGAGTATGAAGGCGAGGTGTACCTAACCAAAATGGAAAGTCTGCAGAACATTTCCAGTCTGCAGGAACGCTGGACAGAGCGAGGGCACAAGGTGCTGAATCGGCACCGGGACATCAATGGAGTGTTGCCTCCAGAGCATGCTGCCATGGAAGAAATAAACCACAGGGCACACGCACTCTGCCAGCAATATCAGATACGGATAAGCGGGGATAATGGTAAGAAATGATGGGTTCTGCAGTTCAGGTATGCCAAGTGCACAGTAAAGAAGCAGTTGATGTAATCTGTTTTGACTTTTTCCTTAAAGCCAAAATTTGACCCTCAGATATGTGCTGGGAATGAAGAGAGTTCAAGGGATCTGCTCTGAGGAAATCTGACTCACAATCATGCATGAAAAACATATTTGAAATTTGCAGTGCAGTACAAATGTGGTGTGGGGAAGCTGTGTGTGATGTCCAGAAGAAACTGGTGCAGCCTGTGGTTATGTGGCTAATGTGTGGAAAAGAAAATAAATGTAAAATGAAAAAATAGAGGTTTAGATCTGAAACTCCAAAGTTGCTTTGGAGATTATTAACCAGACAACACTGTTTCAGAGTAGAATTCTTCTTTTATTACCAAGTCGCTAATACAGGTATATCTTCATCTACATGCTGAATTATCATGATAAAGCATGTAAATGAGTGTTGTCATTGCTGATGTAAATTTATCTTGTTCTGTATAAGATAACAAACATTCAATGGGTAATTTACAACTAGCCTTTCCGACCTTTGCCTGTAGAAGGCTGTGACGTACTTCTGATTTCAGAATTGTTTTATTGCTGATGCTTTCTAATCATCTTATTTCCTTTTAGCAAACGAAAGCTAAAGTGAGCATGTGTTTTCTAGAAGTGATACTCATATTTGCTATTTTTTTCTCATATTGTCACTTTATTCTTTCACTTAACGTTATCCTGTGCTTTTTTTATATTATGCTGGGTGTTATATTTAGACTGAGTGAAAGAGCTGAGAGGGAATTAAGTCTTTCTACTGTATGAGACTGCCAAAGGAAATCAGCAGTCCCAGGAGAACTCATTAGAAAATGAGAGAAAGAGGAAGAAACAGTGACACGACTGGTCAAGCACCAGTGCCCCAAAATTTAGCAGCAACTCGTCCGAAATCTTGATATTTCGTGGTGGTCAATCACAAGGCCAAGCAGTACAGTACAGGCATCTTATCCTGCAGCACCACAGGCAGTGAAGTCTAAGTCCTGAGAGCAACAGGAACCTAGTGAAGTCTAGAAAGATGGATTTTAACTTATTTTGACAAGAACTTTGGAGCCTGGAGAGAAAGTATTCACTTGATGCCCCCAGGATAGGGTATTTTGGACTGTGTGGACTCATTGGTGTGTTGTAATTTAACTGCCTCTTGGTAGGAAAGGGAGGCATCGCTCTGTTTAGCTTCCAGCTATGATTAAACGCTTGTGAAAAGTAAAGGCAAAGGGTGGCCTCCTACCCTTCTTTCCTGTAAACAGGTAATTTCTGCCTTTGCCCAGGCACTTTGCAAATCTAAGTGAACTGCATCACCTTGGGCTAAGCGTCTCTTAAGGATTGTGTTGTAACTGCCAAGCTTTTTTTAAAAAGAGATTTTTATTAAGCCATTACATCCCTTTATGCAAGCAAGCAGCCAAGGCAAGAAAGAAAGCCAAGGCTTTGAATCAAGCCCATTTTATTTCAGCTTTAAATTCAGTGCATATTAAATAGTTCATTCTTAGTATAAGTCTAGGCATTTTCCACATAGGCTGTTCCTCCCTCCCGGGTTGTTATTTTGAACTGAACTTGGTTTTGTTGGCTGCAGAAATGTAATTAAAAGTTCCTATTTCTTCCCCTCCAGGCACAACTAAATTTTTGGCAGGCCTGGTGAGAAGTGTGGAGGATTGGCTGGACGGGGTGCAGAAGCTGAAGCGAGGCCGTGAGGTGCACGAATCTGAGCTCCAGGCCTTTCGTCACCTGCTTCCCGCGTGGCTGGCCCAGGTGGACATGGTCATGAGCTTCATGGGCTCCATCCAGGTGCATGAAGAGGAGCACGACAAGAAACCACATCTCCTGTAAGGTTTATTGGGTCTCACCTGGCTGGGAACTGTAATCTACACATGTGAAAAAGGCAAAATGCTCTTTTGTGGGGAAGCCAGCAGAGGAAGCGGAGATGTAAGTGGGAAGTGGGATACAAACGATCAGTCGAGCTGTTAAAATGATCAGTGGCTGCCTTTCACTTGGTTTGATTTGACAATGTCCATGGAAACAGTTGCTGGCTACAATACTGCTCCTGGAACATCCTTGTCTTCCTCAGAAAAGCCACCTGCTTGATATGTGAAGAAAAAAGAAAATGTGTGATTCATTCACAGTTAGAATTGTTGGGGGTAGAGTCCAGCTTGTGCTGCTACCTTGTCTTTGGTAATGCTTTATGTGCAGAACACATCTGTATAATGTAAACTCGCAAATGACAAGTTCAACCTCAACTGTAGCATTAGCAAAATTGCCTGTTCCATATTCCAGTGCGCAGCATGCATAACCTGTAGCCTTCCTTGAGGTGCACTCAACCCCACTCTGTTTCTGTATTTATTTGTTTTGCTTTGTTCTGTTTTCAGGGTGGTCCCCGGAGAAATGTTTAAGATGATTCAGCAATGGATTCTGTCCATGAATAATGAGATTGAGAAGAACATCACATATCTTAACCGAGAAGTAAGCGCGAGCCTGAAACAGGGATGTGAGCACTGCTGGCAGTATTCACTCTTCCCTTTAATTTTCCTCTGCCCAGAGCACAGCTGGGAGGTTCCCTCTTTTCTGCTTTCACATCTTTGAGATGAGAGTTGTGACTTTTCTTTCAGCCATGGGAACATTAAAAAAAAAAAAAGACCCCTCTAATAAACTTAGTTTTAATAACTTCATTCTAATAAAACTTGATTTATTAGAGTGGGAAGGAAAATAGGAGAAAAATATGGTAAATTGAAATGTTTCTGTCCTTTACGTTAGTTTACAAATTGAATTAGTTTGGACACTGAATTGTGTGAAATGATTGAACACGCGGTAAGACAGGTCGTTTATGACTCATGTAGGTTTGCTTGCCCCTGCACAGGTGACTGAGCTGCACAGGAACCTGACGCTGTGGCTGGCACATTTGCTGAGGTACATGGTCCCAGACCGCCTGTGCCGTGAGTGTCCCCCACGGAAGGATGCCGACAAGGAAAAGGAGCTCCGGTTTCTGAGCGCTTGTAAGCTAGAAGAAGAAGCGGAAGGGCTGGTCGCCAAGATCAGCGGACTCTCTAGTTATATAATCAGGTACTAATGGAGGTTTTTAATTTAATTGAAGTTTTTTTTTTTCTGGGGAAAATGTGTGGTTTGTTTGGGGAGAAATTCATGAGGATAAAAGATCCCATAAATTTCCAGGAAAGTGAGAGGGGTTGGATGAAAAAGGGGTTCCAAATTTGGTAAAAATCCTCTCCCAGGCCCTAAATGTGCTGCCTTACTGGAAAAAAAGCCTGAGAACTTGCTGCCACATCAGCCTAGCACCTTAATTCTGTCCTTAGAGATGGGGTTACAGACTCAGGGTTATGACTTCGCTTACAAAGAGGTAGCTGAAGTTGGGCACATCTAAAGGGAATGGCTGTGTCTTACTTCTTCCGAGCTCTGCTATAAAACATGCTGGTGTCTCTGATTGCAAGGGCTTTGCTCACACTGTGAAGGATGAGGATGGTCTCCAGAGGTTGTAAGGGCAGTGCAGGCAGCAAGCCTGTACCTCGGAGCAGAGCCTCTGCCTTATTTGGGAGCAGCACTCGCATGTCCTCTGGGTGTTAGAGCAGCACAGGCACAGACAGGCTGTCTGGGAGGTCACCATGTGGCGGGGTGGACATGGGTGGCTCCTCTTGAGATTTCTCTTGTGCCAAGGTGGGCCCGCAGCCTGTGGCTCTTGCTGAGAGCAACAGGAACCTGACTGAGGAGAACAGAGTATTTGAGGGCACGGTTGCAGGGCTGATGGCTTTTTGCACCCCTGCAGCTGCTGCCAGGAAATTGTCAGCACCATCCTTCGGAAGAAGCAGTCAGAGGATTCAGAAGATGATTTGGAGCTGCAGGAGCTGAATAAGATCAAGGTAGGAGGTATTTCCCACCCTCCAGGTCCGGGGTACACCAGGCTGCATTTGTGAAAGGCAGAAAAAAAAATACATAGTGGCTTCATGAAGGAGAAAAACTCCTGCTGCTCCTGTGGATTCCCCTTGTCCTCCAAGTTTCCTAGTAGCCAGTGACAAATGCCAAGTCTGAAAGTTGGGAGAGCTTTTCTCTCTAAGGTGGGGATTCAAGCATACAGGTTGGTCCTTAGAACAGATAAGGACAGAAGGATGAAGTTATTTAACTGAGCAAATGAATGTGATCAGATATATTTGCCTCTCATTAATTCTTCTTTTCTGTTATGTCTTCCCAGATTGAATGCTGTAATTGGATTCAAGCATGTAATCTCATCCTTTCAGAGATCAAAGGCACTCCAGTCTCCTTTATGAGTTTAGAAGAAATGCAAAAACTCTTCGGGTCAGAGGTATAGAATATACTGCATTTGCAATTCTAGGTTGAACTGGTTTGAATGAAGGCTAGTTTCAAATTTTTTTCAGCTATAGTTCAGTTTTTGGGAGGGGGGAGCATGTGGAAGAGCAGATGAGAGACTGGTTAGCTGGTTATTAGCCTTTACCTAGATGGGCAGAGGGTATGTTACTAACCAGACCCTTACGGTACCTTACAGGTGTTGCAACTGAAGGTTAAGGAAATTGTCATTTCTCCACCTCAGGAAGGGCTTGAATCTGAGGACATCAGCACTGATGAGAAACCCATAATGGAGGAAGAAATATTAGAAGTAAGGAGAAAATTGATACTCTGCAGGTGACTGCAGTAACTGCAGTACGCTTCTTTCTGGCAGGGCTCCTTTTAGTTGTTGCTCAGTGTGTGCTGCATGAAGCAGGCTCTTACAGCTGCCCCGAGCTAGTGTTATTTCTATTTCTTGTTCATTTTCTCTCTCAGCAGCAGTCAGGGCTTAGCCCTGATTTCCTTACTGAAGGCGATGAAACAACTGAGGACATGATCAGATGCGTAGGACATGACTCGAACATCCACCTGAAGTCCCTGAAGTCAGACATCGTTTCAGTCACGGGGGTAGGCACCTCCATGACATCAGTGGTTTTAGCCTGTGCCAGAGACCTGCAGCTGGAGTCGCAGTTGGTCAGCTGCCCAGGCAGAGCCTTTCAGCAAACCCTGCCCAATGCTTGTGTCAGACCGTGCTAAGGCAGTGCAGGGTGCTGGTATTCTCTTTGATTTTTCTTTTATAACTATAAAATATTCATTGGCACAGTTAGCACTGCCTCAGCATGTCTGCCTGACCCACACATTACTAGTGCAGAGTGACAGATGTAAGAATATGTCCTTAGAAAAGCAAATCCCTAGGAATCACAATTAACCCTCAGACGCTTAGAATAGGAGCCTTTTAACAGTTACATTTCCACAGAAATCCTGGTTACTTGCTTCAGATCAAGCGCAGTAAGTTCTTGTACCTTGTGGGCCCTTTGAGGAGTTGTCTCTTTCTGTTCTCTGAACCTTTGTTTCTCAACTCCTGATCAGGCTGCAGCCAGCTCTGACCTGTAAAACCCAAAGAATGCACTGTCAATGCAGGACTATTGGCCAGTGAGACACTCATGTCTGAAGCAGAAAAACATATAACTATTTTTAGTGCCAAGGTATGAGCTGATCTAATCAAAATGAAGTGCTTGAACTGGCCCCATTTTTTACATGCTGTGCTGACATTTGTCTGTGTCGTGACTGTGCAACAGCACCAAAGCAGGCACACGTTGCAGATGAAATGCACCATCATTTCTATACGTAGAGTGATAAAGCAGGCTGCGCAGGGAAGTGGTGGAATCACTGTCCCTGGCAGAGATCAAGAAACATGTAGATGAGGCACCTGGTGGCATGGTTTAATGGACACGGTGGTGGTGGGTTTATGGTTGGACTCGATCTTGAAGGTCTTTTCCAACCATAATGTTTCTAGGGTTGATTTCATGTTCACTTACAGAAGGTTTTGCCTTTCCCAACCAGGGGGAGATGACTGCCAGCAAGTCGACGACCTGCTTTGCTCAGAAAGAGTTTGAAACCCTGGCGATGGTGGAACTTCTGCAAGCACGACTTCTGTGAGTACTGCTCCTGCACTGGAGGTGGAACAGGGCAGGCTCCCATCCCGATCTTGCTCTGATCTTGCTCCGGAGTTGGGGCTGTCCCTTAGTAGCATGTAGATGGATTGCTCTGGGCAGCAACAGAGGTATTCAGGATGGTTTTAACTGGTGTCTTAACTGGTCAGGTCTTGTTAGTGCTTGTAGGATGCTCTGGTTGCAGCTGAGTACTTCCCAGCAGCGGGGCAGGCAGGTGTGTGATGGTGAGCCTACGCATGGGGAACACCGTGAAGGGGCACCCAAGTGGCTCCTTGCAGAATCCTACCAGGGCTTGTCCTGAGCCTACTCGAATGACTAAATGTGAGTCTGCATTTTCCAGGTTATCCCTTCCCATGAGCCTGGCTAGTAGACTGAACCATACTCCATATTTATCTTTGTACAAGGAAGATTAATTCCTCGTCCTTTGCTAGCAAACACTGAATTTTAAAAACCAATTGAATCTGCAGGAATTGCATAGCTGTGCTATGAAGTCTATTTGCTATAAACCTTTTAATAATGCCATTTTCTGAAATCTTAAATGTGCTTTATACAGTCAGTCAGTTGTACTTTCATTTGGGTGTCCTGCCAGCAGCTGCTTAGATTCAAGTTTCAGCATTATCTTGGCTTCTGCATTTCAGAGAAACAGAAATCCGCGCTCAGAAAGCAGAGGAGAAATCAGAAGGCCTTGAGGAGAAGCTGGAAGAAGCTCTGGAGAGAATCCAGGAGTTGGAGAAAAAGCAGGGGGATAAGCCCAAATCTGTCCCAGAAGTCACACCTAAACAAGAAGAAGGTCAGGAGAATCAATGGTTTGAACCTTCTCATAGACACAGAGAGAGAAGCAAACTGAGTCACTTAATTCATCTATTTAGTGCAGGACCATCCCCTCCTAGGTACCTTCTAGGGTACCTAGGATGCATCTTGCTGCCAGATGCCAAACCCAGGGAGGTATTTACCATTCCCCTGGGGAAAATTTTAGACTGGGACATGCATAAAGAGGCAGCAAGAGCCAGTGGAGCTCTGAGAAAGCTCTCTCTGTTTGCCCTGCAGAGCTTGGGCTCAGTGCAGTCCTGGTTCACTCGTGTGCCATCTGCGACATAAAGCAAGGCAGGCATGCCAGGTTGTTAATAACGTGGTACCTTGGGCATACTTTGATTCTGTAGTATTTTAATATAGTTTCTTTTTTTTTTTTCTTTTCAGAAAAGGTTTCTCCAGAAAAAGTGCCAGAAACCGTGACCCACTCACCTTCGCCACACAAAGCTGCTACCTCTGGCCGCCCCAAGAAACCCCGCAAAACCAAACATTAAAGAGTAGCAATGCCCAAGGAAAGTTTCTTAGTGCCCATTTATAGAAGCATCTCACCCCTAACCCATTGCCTTTATCTCCTCCTCTACTGCAGCATCTCTGTGCCTGCACATAAGTAGACTCAGCACCAAGTAGACTCAACACCGCCTAGAATTGATTGCAGTGTAAATGCACAAACTAAATGACTTTGCAGCTTGTCTTCCTGAAGTACTATTGCTATCTGGTCTTGGTGCTACTCGCATCTCTCCTGCCTGTGCTGACCACCCGTGACCTTGTCCTGTGCCTGACTCCTGTCTGTGTCACCCTTCCTCTCCTGTTGCTCCATCTCAGTCTGCTCAATCTCCCCTTGTTTAATCTGCCCTTTGCACCTCTTCCCTCTTATACTGTTTTTTTTTTCCTTAGTGCCAGTGTGGCCTGATTGTAAGTCACTTAAGTTGCACCCTCTTGACCAAAATCAGAATCCTGGCTAGTTTTCTGATCATTCTAATCCTTTAATTTTCTTTCACTTTTAATTTTTTTTTTAAAAAGAAGAAAACAAAAAAAAGTTACTGTTTTCTCATGCATATTGGAGAGGAGGTACCTCCTTCACTCTCTGGTCTTTCAGATAGTCCATATCTGCTGGTTGGTTAGGAAGCAGAAATTGCACAGATTCCTCTGCATGTGCTTCATCATCTCCTGAAGGCGTGAAGCAGCCTGAAGCCATGCATGATCTGGAGGGCTGCCACAGGAGAGCAGCCAGGATCGTAGGATGGTCACAGGATGGCCAGATGGGTTATGATGTGCTGGAAGTGCCACAGCAGCTGCCTGAACTTGGCGTGGTTCTTGGTGTGACCCAGTCCCAGCCTGGAAGAGCAGGCAGTGACACTGGCACAAATCACATCTGCTTCAGGCAGCTCCTGCCAACTCCCTGTGAGTAAATTCTATTTTGGAAACATCGTATGCCAAGAATCCTGGAGTACATTCTTAAACCAATTTTTCTGATGCAACATTTTGAAAGCAATATCTCCTGAAGGTAAAATGACAAGTTTCTATCAGTAGCATATACTTAAAAAAAAAAAAAAAAAAAAGATTGTGCTGGAACAAGGTGTGTTATTTTTTTGAGTTCAGGATGCTCTTAGCTATCATTTTATATATATAAACCTGAATATTGCAGAAAAGTTCTACAGACCAAATTATGCCTGACTTCAGATATGACTGTAAATGGGGTGTGCGTAGTATGATGTGTCTCAGTTGTGTCTCTTGTTCAGACTAAGAGTTGTTATAGCCAGAATCAGCCTTAAAGCTGTAACTACATGCTCAGTTTCAGAACTGTTACTTTCCCAGAGCCATTTTTCCATGACCGATCACTACTCAAATCTATTATGGACTCAGGAGCTGGAGTCATATCCTTCCCTCAGTCCTGCCACGAGAAGCTGCAGTGGGGACAGAGCTGCATGGGAGTGCTCGCTAGAAGGTTACATCAAGGGCTCAAGGTGCTTGTGGCGTCAGTCATAATTTTCCAGGTGGAAATGTTCCACTTTCTAGCTACTTGTAAAGGGGTTGGTTTGAGGAGTGTCCCCGCTGGCGCGAAGAAAGCTGGCAAGTACTTGGAAAGCGTTGTGGTAACACTGAGTATTGGGAAGGGAACTTGAGGGAGCCAAAGGGGCTGATTAAGTGCAGAGAACTTGATGCTGGTGGAAATTAGCTGCTTGTGCTTCCCCATGTGAAACCAGTGTGTGCAGTCCCTCCTTAGGATGCAATTGCCTTTAAAGGCATTAGTACCAGTAGTATGGGTCTTGCAGGGGTGAGTTATTAGCAGCCAAAGAGGGGGCTAAAAAACAGTGTAACTACAAGAGTGAGAGACTAGCCAGGATTGGCATAGTGGAAAACCACTGTGTGGGCAGTTGGAGACCCCAGGTGCTCCCTAGCTCGGCCTCTGCAGGCCCCGCAGCAGAACCCTCCCCGTGGGAAGGGTTTCGAGGTGCGTGGAGGTGCCGCAGGTGAGGCCCACGGGCAGGAGCAGAGCAGGTATCGGCCTTCCCCGCGTGGAGCTGGGCTCTGCCCGCCGGCACGGCGGGAGCCGCTGCCTCCTTCCAGCCCTGTTTCGGTCCGCCCCCCGCGGGCGGGCGCCAGCCCTGAGGCGCGGCCGCCTTCCTCTCGTCCGCCTGGTCGCTCCCAGGGCCTGAGCGCCCTGTGAATGTGTGTGAGTGTGAACGCGAGTGTGTGAGGCAGTGCGTGAGTGCACGGGAGCGCGTGTGAGTGGGAGCGTGTGCGTGAATCTGCACGTCGTGTGGCAACTGGACTGCAGCCTCTTGGAGGCTGCCTCGAAGGCCCCCGTGCAAGCAGGGGCACTCAAAGGAACCAGGCTGAGCCACCTGCAGCCTGTCCTGTCTCTCCTCCCCCTCCCCAGGCATTCACCCTGAGGGAAAAGGGTCCCCTCTGCGCCCCCAGGCTGCCGTGTTTTTCCCAGGGCACTACACATGGAGATGGGCTGTGAAGAGGGGCACGTTCCTGCCCGAGGAGCACAGCCATTCCTGGGCATCGTCCCACCACCCTGCTCCGAGACCTGCTGTCTTTAGAAAACAGCTGCTGGGAGCCCGGGGGTGCAGGAGAAAAAGCCCACGAGTCCGAGCACAAAGACAGCCACAGGAAACCAAAGCCTCTGATAAGATGTCCCTCGATGCAGGAGAAGCCTCTGCCTGCCTTCTTGATCCTAGTGCCAGGCCTTTCTGCACCTCAATTCCCTGCAGCTCATGTTGGGAGGGAAGTTTAGGGATTCAGAACTTTTAAAAATACAGAGGCTACTCTGTAGGGGGTGATGAGGAAAGACGGATCAGAAGCCGGGCTTAGGTATGTCTGGCCAGGAGGAAGGAAGGCTCCCCTCTTCCCTTGCCCCCTGCTCCTGCCCTCTGCTCCTGTGCTCCGGGTTTTTTCCTTTCCAAAACACGCAGAAACTTATTGCACGTACAACCCACTTTATGTTAGAGGCTACCTTTGCTCCTGCCTCTGTCCTGCATGCCGTGCTGGGCTGCAGAGCGGCCTTGCTCCTCGCTGGGCAAGTCTCCACCCTGACAACCTCCACGGACCCTCTCACAGCATGGGCGAGTCCTTCTTGTCTTTCAGGCTTTCCAGGAGGTTTCCGTTGTCTGGGAGGAGGCTGTTTGCTCCTAGGGGACTGCGGGTGCCCGGAGAGACCATGTTTGTCGTATCCAAAGGCAAGGGCAAGATGAAGGCAGTGGGTTTCTCTGCAGCAAGAGAATGCAGTGCATGAAGGTACCGGAGCTGAGCAGCAGCAGGGGCGCTGGATAGGATCTCAGCTGCCATTCGCAAGGACTCGGAAGCAGCCTTTTCCCCCTCGGCAGCAATCACCTACCAAGAGGGGAACACAGAGGCTGTCAGGGAGGCTGAGGGTATGGAAACATGGACT